TACAGCTTCACCTGGAAAGCTACCGACGAGTCACCCTACCCAGTCCTCATTTATCCCAGGATAAAAAAAAACTGCATTCTTATATTATTTAAAATTAGAATAATTATAGAAAATTTACTACAGTCATCTGACATAAAATAGTCACTACTAAGTCACACAGCTTTATAAAAGGTTAAATTAAAATCTACAATTGAATCGAAATGAATAAAAAACCAGAATAAATTCACTTATTTCGACGAACCACTTCTTCACGTTATTCAACGAAGAACAGTATCGTACACAGGACAACCGAGAATTAAAAATTTACGAGCACGTGAACAACTCTTCGGCCTCTTCACTTTTCTCCCTTTCCTTGCACGATCCTTCGTCTTTCCGATATCAACGCCAGGACAATACTTCGTAGGACACGGATTCCTCGGCATACGTGAAATTTCACGATGCACCGGACTTCATCTCTTCTATAAAATAACGATTGCCTCGTCTCTCACTCCGGTCGTCATCGGTAGACACGGGTCCAAACCACTCTCTGTCATGAAAATTCTCAATTGGTTCTTTTAACGAGAGTTCACGACTTGACAGTTCGTAATACGTACGCGGTCTCCTCTACCCGAAACTGACGCATTTCAGTTCCGACGAGAGCGACAGTGTAAGAGATATTACCGTACGATGAGAAGATGCCGTTGAAAGTGCATTCTGTTCCAAATCGATATCTCTACCCGTTCTCGAGACAAACGACGTTAAAGTGCATCGTTTATGATGTAAGGAATCCTCAATGATGCTTGAAATACGTGGAATCGTCGTGACCGACTTCTTTTTTCCACGGAAACGCGTACGATGCTGTAGCAGCGATCGTAAAAAACCGCTGACGCAGAGTCTGTCACTGACCAGCGTACAGGTGTCGAGTTTGGACGTCCACGACGCCAGAATCGATCGGGGGTTCGAGCATTTACTACCCTATCGATAGAATCGGGAAAGGCCAGGCAAATGAAGTAACGCGACGCAACGTTGCGACGAGATCGTAAAACGGGGCGGCGTGTTTATTGCACCGGCTGGTAAAATATGTACATATATTAACGACGTAGAAACGCAGCCATACGGATCCGTGCATCCACAATACGGCGGCGACAACCTGTTGCAGTAACAAGCCCCAAGTAATTTTTGCCGGAGGACGCAGTAATTCTTTCCGTTCCGCGTTTTACGCCCCATGGACGATCCGGTGCTCACCTCTTGCGCCTGCCTTGTTATTTACCGTGTTAACGCGCCGCATCCGGATGGCTCGCGCTTCCCGCTCGTTCATCATCGCGGGGACTTAGGGTTTCGATTAAAATAAAAATGCTGCCGGAGAAAGAAGCGGGAAATGAAGATTTTCAGGGAATACCGAGTATAATTATGAGACGCGTATATCTGGAGTTTTCAGCTTTCTATTTTGAAATTTCGGAGAGTAGATTATACTTTTTCGGAGATTAACTCTTTGCGGTCGAAATTTGGGATATTCCTGGAAAAATATTTTTACCTTCTGAACGCTCTGTAGACCGTTTGCCTGCAGAAACGGGGAAAAAGTAATACGCACACAGATTAAACAAACTCGTTGGAATAAAATTTATACGTTGTTTAGGCAATGATTGACTGAGCACTAAAAAATAGTTCCGACTACCACGTCTACGGAAAATACGAGCGCAAAGAGTTAACGTGACATACGGAGAGAAGAGTGAAAATGATAAGAATGTTTGCGAGTGTTTTTTAAATTGGTTGTAGTTTGGAATATCAGTAACATAGAAGTTTGCTTAAAATGGAACGAAAGTGACGGAGAGTGGAAGAATGAAAAATTCTGACAATTGTGAATTTTAATTTAGAGCTGGAATTATGGTAATTTGGTATCTCTGTTAGAGCAGAAGGTGAATGGAAAGGAATGTAGATAAAAATTGTGATATGTACGAATGAGAAGTACGAACTAACAAATTACCGATGTATCATTTTTAAATCTTTCATGTTTCACGCGACATTAATATCGCGATTTTTTTTTTAATTCCAGGGAAAGTATGAAATTTATTCCAATCCTCGGTGGAATAAAATGTGTGCATATCGTTGCATGTTTGTGTACACAAGACAAGAAAGCTTTCATAGAGTTGCGGTACGACTCGAAAATGAAAAGCGTCATCTATATCGAACACATTTTGTTCTTTTCAAATCAAGGATGAAATCACTGGCTACACGTTGCATTAAATTCATCTGAAGCTGGGAACGGATAAGCTTGTGTCTGCACCGGGGAAAAATTATTTCTCACGTTTTTATTTTTCTCTTTCGTACGTTATGATTATTTCTTCTTTTATCACATACCGTAAAAGGGAACGCTTTTCCATGATCAGGTAGCAATGTTAAAAGTTCCCAATGTGAGAAATAAATATAACTTTTTCCGGATTTACA